TTGGCTTGCCTAGCCTGTGGACCCTCTGGAATTCAATATGTTCGGCGTTCTCAACTCCAAGCGTATTTTTTATAAAGTTCACAAGAACGCCTTTGGTATCTTCGTTTGCAGTTTTCCCTTCTTCAGTTCTTGAGTTTTTCCTAGCCAATTACAAGACTTACTCAAGCATTGATATGAGTTTTAAAGCGTTTGAGGCACTCTGGTCATTACAAAAATGATTGCTACAGCGTTATCGAGCGATAAAATTGTAATCAACAATTTGTAACAATTAAAAGCAGTCAAAGAGGGAACAAGCCTCGTCTATTTGTTGAGTAAGAACCTGCTAGTTTCCGTTTGCCGACAGCAGACTCCTACTTTTAGAATTTCCCGTTTTTATTTCGATCGAGAAGTAAATGATATAAAAACTGGCTGCTTCATGCACACATGATAGAAGGCATTTATTTTTGCCTCATATTTTCCTGTTAAGCCTGTTAATTGCTTAACGGCAGGCAGCTTCTACCCCGCTTCCTGTGTTTACCTGCCAAATTGTGTACTTTATGATCTTATTGCTAAAGATAACATTTCACACACCTGTTTAAAATTGGTGTTAAGCACGTATTTTCGATTATCTTTTCCGAGAATCGTTTCAGTCTCACCGTAGCTACATGACACGTCTATGCATTTCTCGTGCAGTTTTTGGCTATACTTTGATGTCACCATGTTTATGTCTAACGCGTACTGTGCTATCAACCCGATTTTCTCTCTCACTTTTAGCAGTAATTGATTACCAAAAAAGCCCTTAAAAGACTCATAAAATGTTCTTTTGTACGGGCGTAGATCGCAAAAATGTGCTTTTGGCTCGCGAATATATCATATATCATGACTATCAGTGTACTCCAGCACTCTGAGAAGGTTTTAATGAGTGCGACAAATGACAGCATAGGCGATGTATTGTAAGAGTTTGGGATAAAATTCGGCGGCGGACCGTTAGAAACGTTATAGGGGCGTGGGCAGCAGAAGTACAAAAGTATTCGTTCATGCAAGGGGAAAATTTATTAACTGAAAATTTAAGGGAAATGTTAACGATATAAATTCGAATAATAATAATGGTATGAAATATCTCCTAGTAACTCTTAACTGTCTGTCTATTGCTGTAACTTCTGCTGTTCAGCACGTATTGCATTTTTAATTTGCAATCACACATTCATAAATAATTTATTGCAAAGTTTAGCCAATAAAAAAGCTCAAGACCTCGGTTCTGTAGATCGACTAATTGATCTGACATGATTTTCAAACTGTTATTTTAGTACCCTCCTCGCTCTCATTGTTTAAATTCTGTTTAGAAGCCAATACTTTGTTCTCTCTCTTTGCTCTCCTTATTTTCTATTAACAGGACAACCCAACCTTAACCCCCTTTAAGGTGATATTTAAAACAGGTAATCGTTTTCACCAAGTAAATGATTCGAAAGTTCCATATATGCTAATAAGCTGCTCCTAGCCAATCGCGAAAGACTTCTCAGGTATTGATATGAGTTTAGTTGAAGCGGGGGAGTGGGATTTTTTGTAAAGTGCCACATATAATTGTAGTAACGGCAGAAGGTTCGTAAATATCAAAGGGAGTAAAAGAAGTAACAAGCCTTCTATTTTTGTTGAAGAAGAACCTATTAATTCTTAGTTAGACTGGAAAACCCAAACGTAACCCCCTTTAAGGTAATTTTTAAAATAGGAAATCGTTTTCACCAAGTAAATGATTTAAGGTTCCATATATGCTAATAAACCGCTCCTTATAGCTAATCGCAAAAGACTTCTCAGGTATTGATATGAGTTAAGCGGGGGAGTGGGGTTTCTTGTGAAGCACCACAACGTTATCAAGCAATATTATTAAGCCAGCAAGTACAGAAGTTCGTAAAAAAATCAAAGGCGGTAAAAGAAGTAACAAGTCTTGTGTTTTTGTTGAAGAAGAACCCATTATAGTTTAGTCTAGACTCTTGGTTTCATAATTTCCCATTTTTTGTTCGACCCTCTTGATCGAAAAGCGAATGTTATAAAAACTGCATGTTTTATGCACACTTGATGAATATGCACTTCTTTTTACCTCATATTTATCTGCTAAGCCTGGGCTTAATTGCTTGAAGGCAGCTGCGCTCGAGTTTAACTGCCAAATTGTGCACTTTATGATCGTATTGCCAAAGAAAACATTAGTAAAATTAGCATTTAGCACGCTTTTTCAACTATATTTTCAACAGTCTTAGAGCTGCTTCAAACAGTTTACAGAGAAAAGACAGAACTACAAGTGGTGACAAATCATAGTGTTCATCATAGATGAAAAACTTTCCTGCAGCTCTGGATCGCAAGAGCGTGATCACTGTTCCTCAGCAGCACAAAAATTTCCTTGTGGCCGGGGCTAAAAAAGCTAAGAGCCACATTAATGGTGCTTAGTTACTCTACTCCTTGACGTTGTATTTTCAGTATTTATTTTACACAAATTCCCTGAATATACGTTTTGAAACGGGCGTTTTGAACACATTAAAATACACGTACACTAACAGCTCTCAGGCGTTACGCTTCCTCGATAATCGATCTTAAAATACCTTTCGTCGTGATCTGAATTTTAAGAATATTACTTATCTAGTTTTTCCTTGTCGTCGATCGAATTTAAGCAGTTGATGATTTTTAAATGAAACAAAGATAAAAAGAAATAATAATGATGGTATGCCATCTCCTAGTTATTCTTAAGAGTATATTTTAAGATTAAGTTAAACATCTACTGTTGTAACCTCTATTGTCTGGCACGTATTGCCTTCTGTGGAAAGATCTATCCTTCCTGAATTTGCCGCTTACCAACTAATCACTTAATTAAAATAAGGAAGTTCAAAGGGTTCTGGAGTAAATACTCCGCACCGTTCCATATGAAAGGAAATTGACAACCTCGTTCCCAGGGGCGGGTAGGAGAGAACCCTGGGAACGAGGTTGGGAAATTGACTCGATCTATCCGTAGTTAATTTATGCAAAAGTCTAGCCAATTATTTTCGATTAACACCTTCTGTAGATCGACTAACTGACATGATTTTGAAACTGTAATTTTAGTACCTTTCTCCCTGTTATTGTTTAAATTTTGTTTAGGAGCCAATACTTTGTTCTCTCTCATTGCTCCCCTTGTGTTATTTCGACTGGACAACCCAAGCTTTTAAAGGGCTTAAAGGAGCAATAAAGAAAGAATTTCTTTCAGACAATGTAATTGATTTGAAGGTTCAATGCTAATGAGTCTCTCCTAACAAATTACAAAAGGCATTGATGAGTTACCATAAATTAATCTAATGACTAATTGACGTCCCTTTTCAAACAAACGCCTCTTGGCTCATTTAATAACCGCCACTGTATGATTAGGGCATTAGACGCCCTCGCTAATAAACATCCTTTGTCCAGTAGACGGCCCCATGAAAATTATTTCAAAAATTATTAGAAATTAGCAGAAAAGAGCAAAATCATTGAAATTATTCAGTTGCCTGCTTGATTAACAAGACTTTGAGCGTTGCACCTTGTTCAGTGTTTTAAAGTTCCATTTAAAAGTTCGAATTGATTAGAGATGACATTACATTGACCCTGCACTAGAATTCTGACATAGAAGTTGAGATTTGAACTAGCGCCGATAAGGATCTCTAGACGGCCTAGCTAGGCGGTAGCAATTGATAGACAGGATATTCCGCTATTCATAAGCTCTCTTGACATTTTCGCCGAAAGCATATTAGTTTTGAAAACATACTAATACCCCAGTGTTCTGTCAAAAAGTCTGTTGGCGGATAATGCCGCAACATTACAATACAAAGACAATTCTTGAAGGCCTCAGAGGACAGTTGAGCTGTGGCTTCGCAGGGGGCTTACAATTGTCAATAAAAGTTCTTACTGAAACAGCATACCCAATATCCAGAGTAGTACAGTTGACTCCCCGCGCTAACTCGAACCAAAATCGATTTCCCCTGGATTTCCGTCATACATTTACTGGTAATTTTACCCTCGGTAACTCGAACCCTCGATAACTCGAAACTCCCGCTAACTGGAAGTAATTTTTAGTTTCAGAAATGTAACTACAGTGGAACCACGCCCAAGCTATAACGTACCACGATACCAGAAAAAATTGTTCGTTATAGCGGGGTCTACGTTATAGCGAAGACCCCGTTATAACGAATTATCTGGTTAACAGCAAAAATATTAGTTATAGCCGTGTAATTTAATAAATTACAATTGCCAAAAATTTAATACCGCACGTATAAGGTATCATTTGTATTCATTTAAAGACATCAAATTCAAAAACACTTTCAATTAAAGCAAGCTGTAATTTCTTCTCAAATCTGTCGCTTTTAATCACTGCTGCGAGCGACCGGACAAAATATTCGTTACAGCGGTGTGAATTGTGCGTTTGAACCAGTCAAAATCTATTCGTTATAGTGGGGTTCGTTTCCACATATTTTACTGTAATTCTGCCGGGCTTTCAGATGTTTTTCGTTATAACGGGGTCTTCGTTATAGCGGGGTTATGCTGTAATTTTCACTCTAACAGAATTCCTAATAAAGACCCTGATGCGCCAGGTATGTCTTTTTCAGTCGGAATAACCTTCTAAGAGCGTCTTTAACAAGCTTTAACAGGTAGCTTACTACTGTCCGCCATACTTTTGCTGTCCCTTCCTTCAAGCAATCCCCAGGATCCCTAAGTCTTTGCATGGGTACTGTTTCGATTCGTTTCTTGGTTTCTGATCCTCTCACGTCATATCCATATACCGGCTTAACCATAACAAACAGTTCAAAATTATCCCTACCCATCCCTCTCCTAGTAGGTAAAATGGTTGAACTAAAACGTAAATTTGATTCAGTTTTTGCACCCTCGCAAAATCGACAAAATAATGACTTCCTCTTAACCTCAGTGGAAAAATGAGTATTCTATGAGTCAATCTGAATTTTCTATCTTTTCTCACCTTCCATAATATTACGCGATTCTATGGTCACATATTTATCCCTGTCCAGCCGTCAATGTTCGTGAAAACATCCCAAGGAATGAGCTGAAAATAAAAAAAATATACGTATGAAATGCCTGTTTACCAACAGGGCACTGGAAATGCAATAGTATGATCTAATTCCCGTTGCAGGAAAACGAAAATGAATAATAAAAACATATCAAATTCTCAACCTCGGATGATGCATTTCTAGCTGTCCCTTTGATTCTCGATTATCAGCCACTTAAATACTTAAATTTGACCTTATATGGAAAATAAGTTTGGCAGTAACGTCAATAGTGGGGAAATTGGGCCGCTCGACAGCTTTACAATTACAGAGGGTATTTATAAAGTTTAACAAAATGGGGCGAATCCGAAGGGTGTGAACCCTAAAAGAGAAATATCATCTTTATCAGAAAAAACGTTTAAATTGAAGCCCGACAACACTAAGACAAGAAGACAAAAAAAAGTGACCAATCAAGTGTGGCCACCAAAGACTGGATAAGGATATACCCCCTTTTAAGAAAAATGGGTGTACTTTTGCGTTTGGATATGGGTTTATATCTTAGAAGAAAAATGACCAACCCACCAATCTCGTGAACAACGATGCCATAGAACCAGCAGTCGGGCGCGAGCGAAATAGGCTGTTTTAATCCTGTTTTCCCCACATGAGACCAGCAACTGGAAAACAACAACAACATTATTAACCTAAATTCGGCAATCCCAGGGTTTTGAATTGTTAATCTCATCTCGAAAATCAGTAAGTGCCTTACAAATGGAAAGTCCGTTATTAAGAGATAGACCCATGGCAGATGATCACCGACTGGTAAAGTGTAACGATCACTAGGCTATCACCTTAATCTTAAACAAATTGTGATTTTTATGAAGTATATAATTTCCCTTTTATTCACTTTTAAATTCCTTGTACATATTTTTAAACTAATTTTTAATTTTTTTTTAATTTTTATCGTGTAGTCGTAAGTACACAGGGCTGCTTTTGATACCAGCCAATGGCTGATAAGGCTAACCTGCCTAAATAAAGTTGACTTGACTTGACTCGAATATTTCACAGGATCGAGGAAAATGTTTAACTTAGTTTAAATCAAAATAAGCGTTTTTATTCGATTATTAATGAAAGGCAGGCACTTTCCCTACCGAATTTCGGTTCTATAAAACAACCTTTTTTCTAATTCCGCACCAGTCATTTTGTGAGGAATCCTCGTGTTCCCTATTATGCAGCACTTTTTATATTAGGATTTTCTTCGTTTTTTTAATGTATTGTTTTGATTGTCTGTGTAATTGTTTACCGTAGCATTTTGCTTCCCTCTTTCTCTAAAATTCCGAATCCCTGTTTTCCGAACGAAGAGTCCTACTTTCACTCGGATGAATTTTATCTTACCCTACTCCACGGTAGAACCATATGTATTCATTTTCAGTTTTTCGCTTCTGGAATCGAATGCAGGTTTTCCTTTCGAATTCTTTCATAGCTAGCCAGATTGCAAATAACGCCTTCATGTCATGTGCTGCAGAATGAAAATATAACTGTGTGTTTATTAAATAAATACAATCTTCAGCTCTTACAAACACTGCTCTTTAGATCAACAATTCTCCTGTACAAGAGCAAATATGAAATTAAAATGAAACGGATCGATAGGATGTCAGGTGATGCGGCATGTACTAATAGCATAAATATCTTCTGAATATCTAAGTACGCATTATTCTATGTGTGTCAATATCCATGGAAAACACCGTGAAGTGCCTCTAGTACCTCCACTCGCCAGAGGCTTCTTTTGAGCCACTAAATCTACATATACATTTTATTACCATGACGTCGTTAAAAATCGATTAGACATTACACCACCTACACCACTAACACTAGGAAGAAGTGGTGTGGACTACGTAGAAATCGTTTGAAAGGGAAAAGGCAATTTTTATCGGCTCCTCCTCAATCGTTTGATAATTGCCCCCTTTCTCTTGTCCTTCTAACGCCTGACGTACAGGCGCAGTGTAAACGATGAGAAGGAAAAGGAGGGGAAACGAAGTCCTGCCTTTTCCCCTTCCCATCGTACCTTGCACACTCGATTATTAAGTTTCTTCAATTTGCTTGCCAAGAGAAGGTATTGAAAGGCTAGGGTATCACATGACCTTTTTAGGTACAAGTACATGCATGAAAGTAAAGAATTTAAAAAAACAAACAAACAAACGAACGAACAAAAGGGTCTCTTGAGATAGTAGCAGAAACTGAAAGGGAACAAAAAACTCACCAAGTTGTGGCGCAATGTATGCTGGTCTGTTGCAATGTTTGTAATTTAAGGCTATACCAGATAGCTTTGCGCCGCCATGAAAATCATACCGGATGGGACTTCTGGTCAAAAGGATAATAGAAATTCAAAAAATATGTGTGTTAAATGTCGTATAAGAGAATGCGCGGAACGAATTGTCTCTAGCAAAATAGTTAGTATAAAAGATAAAAGCTTACTAAGCTCGCCCACCGAGAGAGGTATCAATATCGTATGTGACAATCCCTCCAGGCCAAAGTTTTGTATCCTTGAAGATCTTTTGTCCCCCAGATCCAGCAAGAAGTTCAATCTTCTGGTCTAAAGTTAGTTTCATGTCACCCTCGATAAGATCTTTGTCTCCAGTCAAAAGATTTTCTGTAAAACAAAATCATCAACAGATATGGATCACGCCTCTAATTTAATCTAATTTCATCCTTTACGTCTCATATTACAATAAAAAAAGAAGAATCTTACAGATAAATATAGGGTCAATGTTTAAAGCAGCCATTTTTTATGGTTTAGAAGCAACACACATGAGAGAAAAAAATTATTTGTTGTGGGTGTTTGATAACAGAGACAGTGAACTATACCTTCAACGGAGCTCAACACCAACACAATAAAACAGCTGAGATACAGGAACACCAATCTCCAAGATCGAAACAGGAACACTTCGTTTCCCATTTTGCCAGCAGTAGCTTCTAATGCTTCACTAAACTACTACAAAAATGTATATATAGATAAAGACATATTAGACTTTTGTCTCAGTAACTCACAGACCTTCCCCAACTCAAACCCAAGTAAAAAAAGCTCTTGATGGACGTCGCCTTTTTTCAGTCTACCACAAAATTCGTTTTTGGATCGTTTCTTGTGTGGGAGAGACTTTTCTAGAACCAGTTGCAATTGTCTCAGATCCGCCTCAAAAATCGCTAAGAATAAGGCCCCTTGATGGAAATGAGGTTTGTTTCTCGGAGCAAGGAACATCTTAACATTTGAAACGTGTACGTGTATAACGTACACGAGTAGAACGTGTAGAAGAATAGATCTAAACACTGTTTACCAGATAGCATTAAAAAAAAAAACAATTTTGGCCGGGACCATTCATTAGAATGAAGGCGAATCAAACTAGTCCAAAGATATCGCCTCCCATTTACTACATCGACCACGAAGCTCCCGGCCCGCTTTCTTGTATTCGCGAAAAAAAGGATTCCCTTCGGACGTATTTCGTTTTTTCAATTTGACCGCTTATAATCAGCGAATTCCAGCTTCCGTAAGCTTCATGGGGAAAGGATAAACATTCCATCTACGCATATCGTATACCAACAAACTAAAATGAAGCCTGAAGTGAATTGACTTACATTTGACGGTCCACCATCAAGTGGCTTTGGCTTCAAATACAAAACGCTAATCAACCCATTAATGGACCTCTAGCATTCACATACGGTTTAGAGTTGTAGCAGAAATTAAGGTAAAAGCGTAAATGACTGAATAACCCTAACAAACTTCGTCGATATTGCCTCCTTCAAAACAATTTAAACTTACCTACTGCAGGACTTAGTAATCAATGGACCAAGGATCAAAATTGACGACAAATTTTTGTACGAGCCCTAATGATACGGTTAATTCTAAATAATGTACTCCGTGTGATGATGTAACTTAATCAGGAATTCATTGTTATCTAACGAGCAGCTATTGTTCAGCTTTCGTATCTTCTGTGCCCTTGACGAAGTAACACCCTATGGGGCCAGTTTTACAAATTTCAGCTTCGGACTTTACCACCTAAGAGCGTCTAAAGTTCAAACATTTTATCGCCAGACGTTTAATAGAACACCTACGCCCAGCGTTACTTGGTTTATTGCAATTGGTTCCTCAGCATTAAGCAGGCGGCACACCAATTTTTGCAAACTATTCTGAAAGCATGAGGGACAAGACCCAGCCTTTGTCCGAGCTTTAGACAGGAGTCCAGTTAAGCAACAAATCAAAAGGGTCCAAAAGCTTTCCGTGCTAGGTTTTGACTTCCCTGAAATTCAGTGATTTCTAGCGGAAACCAACTAACAGTTTGATTATTGGATTGGCAGTTTTCCTGAAGTGAAGCCTTTTGATTTGTTTAAAATTTAATGTATTTTCTATTTGTTTTAACGACAGACTTTTCAATGTTCAAAAAAGAATTCCACTTCAAAAATTCCTTTAAAATGGGGTGTGCAAGAAAAAAATTAAGGTCCCTGTAGTTCCACACTTTCACCATTGCAAAAGCTTTGTTGCGACTGCGTCTAACCTATTTAATAATAACTTCCCAAGGGAGGGTGGGGAAGGAGGATTCCTGTGGGTACAGATTGGTTCCTCTGTGAAGATGTCCGCCTATAGTGTTTAATTCAAACAGATAGATGTGATTTGATTCAACCATTGGCCATTTCGATTTGGAGAGTGTTGAAATTAACATGTACTGCATGTTTAATTTTTTCATCTACTTTTATTTCGCACTTTAAATATGTTTGCATTTACATACAGAAAAGAACGCTCTTAGCATTCACATTAATTCGATTTAGAAATTGGAATAGAGGCAGCCGCTAGGCAGAAATGTAAAAAATGAAATACTGAGACCATGAAATACAAAACTGACCACTTGACCGTAAAACGTGGCTACAGCAAGGCGCGGGCAAACGATACAACATCGCACACAAACGCAAGGTCAATTAGCTTCAATGAAAACCAAGCACAAAGATTTTTCCGTTTTTCTCCGCGTTTTCACCCAAAAAAGACAACACCATGATCACAGTCGCTTTTCAGTTGTTAGGTCTGCATTAAAGCACTCAATGTTGGATGGAAATTTTTTGGAGTCTTCTACGAATTGTTGCGCGCATACTTCCAAAAGTACAATGTTTTGTAGCATCGTAGATTAGGTGCGAGGTTTTCAAAAGATGCGAGAAAAGTTGCTGTGCTGTTGCATTGCATGACCTTGCCTTATTCTAGAAAAAGGTAACCTGTGCCAGGCTCTTGGACGGTAAAAGCGAGTAGACGAAAAAAGCGGACGAGCAGCGATTACGCCAGCGAGCGAAAAACGTCCAAAAACGACATGTTTGTTTGACTGTGCGTGCACGAAGCTAACTGATTGAGGTAGATGTTGACGGAAACTGTCAAAATTGGCCAGGTATATGGTATATCAGGAGCTGGTATACCGGAATGAGGTATAGAAAACAAAGCTAGCACTTCCGCAACTTCCGCGACTCTAACCAGCCCCCACGCGGTTTTCGTGCAAATTTTCTCTATCCTCTTTCCTTTCTATCTTGCAGCCCGGCACAGGCTAAAAAAAGGAGGAAAAAGACCAGAAGTAAGCATGTAAAGCATTTCAATTAGAGACCTTTAGATTTAAGACGAGGACGACTACTAGATTTTCTCAATACTAAGTAGTGAGTGCGCGTGAACCAACGCGATTTTGGCGGAAAATGTGATAGCCGTCTTCATTCTACCAAGAGTTAAGCAAGAATGTTGTAGTGACGGAAACAAGTCATCAAATGTTGGAAGTTTTATCATTTTGTTATCGGGAGAGGGCTTAACCTCCTTCAATAAAGATAACAGTACTAACTTTTCTGGTGAAAAAGAGTACACTGAAGCTTTCCGGGGTGTGTATTTTCTCACAATACGCGAAAAAATATTAAATCAAATCGCGTACTCGTAGTCCTTCTCATCCTCAAATCTAAAGTTCTCTAATAGGACCACGTTTGACAACGAGTTACTCAAACATTAGAACTCGAATCAGCAATAAGTGGTAATTTCATCAGTTACTCTAAGCCAATCGTCAACTCTTAATTTCCATTTCCATTTATCCCCATGCTATCTGTAAAGAACGAAACAAGAATTGTCCAAAACGAAAGCACCCATTATTGATTTTAGTTTTATGTTTCCACCAGTCAAGACCTTGCTCAAGGCTCTTTACGGAGGAGAGAGCGCGAAAGTTTTTACTATTTAGCCCTATTCTGATCATTTCACAATGCACTGTTGAGAAAGAACTCTTTAGCGAGGCCACAGGTTGGGTTCACACACATTGGACAGCGGAGAGGAAGCTGGCGAGAGCAGTTGACTCCAGAGTCCAAATGAGACTTTACCACATCAGCCATTGCCTAAACAAGAGTAAAAGTAACAAAAAAAATTATTTATTATTGTCATGAGAGAATAGTTTAAAAAGGTCAATGCATGCATGCGCATGTGCGAGAGTAGTTTTACGGACCACGTGCCAGTCAAGTTGTAGCTTGATGAGTGTGAGAATCAAAGATGCACATAGAATTAATTTTTTATTGTTCCTGTTGCTCATGTGTAACGTCGTTGTGATAATTATCAGTTATGGTTTATAATCCCTAACATGCTCTTCTGTCACTTCTCAGCGGGTGCTTGTAGGGAGAATTTACTTATCTATCCGTCTACCTGAATAAAAGTCGGACTGTCATTCAACGAAGCAGCTCGACGTATGTTCTCGATACCAGCCTGCAAAAGCAAAAAGTTAAGATTAACATCATAATATTACGTTTTTGCTCTCTTCTCATATAATAGAGCAGTTCTTATGGTTCCTTCAAACTTTCTGCAAAAAAATAACGCCACAATACCGCCAGAATAAAACTGTTTCTTTACCTCTTGTTCTTGTTTTTGCCGGAAGAGAGAGTAAGGATCTCAAAAAGAGGCTGTTGATATATCAGTTCTAATGGTCTCCTTCTTAAAATTAGGCGGATTTAACAAAGACAGTGTGGTTTAATTTTCTCCTTGGTTTAAATTTATTTTCTTTTATTTTGGGGTATGGTAATGTATGATAATGAGTTTGAAAAAAAAAATTAAACCAAGCATAAAATTGAACCACAACAAAGACAATGCAACGACAAATGAGGACGCAAAAGAACGCGAAAGAACTAAACGTAACTCCGCTGCTCAATTTGCCGTTTTGTCACTGGCCTAGCCTGAGAAAACAACCAACAATTCGCGATGCCACTACGGGTTTCCCTGTAAAGTGACGTCTGAGAAATGAGCGCAGACATTCCACACTGATGACGCGTCACTACCCAGATCTGGAAATTTCCCACGCGGCTCCATCACCCATTCTTCTCCCGCTTGGGACTCCGCCGCCAAACATTTTTCCCGAGCTCGCATAAGTGAGCCTGCACGCAGGCTAGAGGATTAGTGATATGTTAAGCGTTATGAAAAGCGTTCATGCGTTACATGTACGTCACTAAACACACCTCATGTGCTACTTCCTCAGCATACTCTATGTCCAGCTCATGAAGTGTCTCGATATGGTCAGAGGTAAATGCAATAGGGACCAACAGAATGTTCTTTTTTCCTTTCTTTGCAAGGCCCTTTATGGCATCCTCTGTCTGAGGTCCCAACCACGGCATGGGACCAACCTAACAAAGACCCAAAATCATAACATGATACAGTGCGATAAACACATAACATAATGACTCCACTACCTGGCTCTACTAAACAATGCAATAAAAACACTTACCAATTACCCCCACAATTATAGTTTCAAAAAAATATCAATACAACGGGTCTATTTTTGTCATGATCAGCATTCTTAAGTTAAGAGGTAAAATATTTTATTTATGAGAGGGGAAGCCTACGCAGCAGGCGTTAAAAGGGGAGAGGGAAGGGGGAATTCAGGGCGCTTGAGAGCTCGAAATGAGGGACGCGCGAGGAGGGGGAATAGGCAGCGTAGAGAGGGGGAACAATTCAAGCATACAGATCAAACTTTATCAAATACGGACCAGTCAAAAAATTTTTCTAAGAGCTACAGTTCTCCTTCAAGTAAATATGGCAAGGTAAAGTTTTGCAAAACAAAAATAAATGTCCAGTTACTGAAGCACTGTTCAAAGGGAGTGTTTTAATGACACTTAAAAAAAAGTAGGTAAGGATCAAGAGATATGATCTAAGTAAAAATGAGCAGGATTTCGTTCCATTTTGTTGCATTAACCTGATTCAGACAGAAGGGGCATTTGATATCACTTTGCCTGGATTCTCTTGATCTCTGGCCCCTTCGAGAAGGGCAACCATACAGAGCTTTGGTAAATAATAAGATTATTCTGACCTTTGACTGCCATACAAGTCTGTATGGATGGGAGTGGCCCAAGGTCTCCATCACACGTTGAACAGTGGCAGCAACCTCTTGAGGATATGGATCGCCCCTCTCCACAACCTATAGAAAATCGGAGTTGTTTCTCATAATATGTAGACAAGGCATAGAGAGGTTGAGTGTCCAGCAAATCATATTTTTGAAAAACAGGCATTGTCTGAAAAGACTGACAATGATCTAAAGATAGGGCAAGCCATGTATCACTGGGCAAATAATTTATCTGGGTTAAGGTGACTGGTATCTAGCCTGCATGGCAAAATTTATCTAACCCCAGCTAGCAACATCTGCATAGCAGCACCAAGATGTTTGCTCTGGAACCCTAATGCAGTGGCGGATCCACGGGAGGGGCTCTAAGACCCTGCCTCCCCCCTTATTTTTAGACCAAACTGAGGCCCAAAGGGCTGAAAAAATGTTTTTGGAGACCAGGCCCGCCCCACCCCCCTTTTCTAAGGGTGGGGTCTACTGTTCATATATAGGATGCCCAAAATGTGTGCAATTCCACAATAATTGTATTAAATCCTATACCAATAATAATTGCAGAACATTTTAGAAGAAGCCACCCACAATGCCAGCACAGTCACGGACAACACACAGGGACCGCGGAGGGGGAGGGGCTGGTAGAGCCGTGGCCCCACCACTTTTTTGCGCCCCCGCCCCCACTTTTTGCGTTAGAAAGAAAAATAATTAAAGTAAAAAAAAGACTTGAAACAAGTTTTTTTCCGTCTATATTCCGCTATATTCTCTGTATTTTCTTTAATTTCAAACGCCAGGCATTTTGTGGGGCTCCTGTGCGGGCTCCTGTGCTTTTCGCGGTAATTGTGCTCTGGGGCCAACTTGCCCCTTGATCAAACGCCATGCCTTGGCCACCCCTTTGCTTCTTTCGGCAGCGTGTTTTGTACTTCCAGCTCCGGCAGAGTTTTTTCTCAGTTTTATCAGACGAAATGAAGAAAATTACTAGCTTTTTCAAGCCAAACGAAGGCGAGTAGTTGTTTTGAGTTGATAAAAGTTTTATCTTTTGTCAGTTTCTCCTTTCCAATCAATGAAATATTCGATGGCAAGAAGAATTACATTACTTGAACAGTGAACGGCCATAGTTAGAAATTTTTCAGATCACTTCAGTGTAGTATTTTCTATACTAAAATTGTAATCGCGTCTTTTCTTGCATTGAATCTGAACTGACCGTGTATGTTGGCCGACCTATAAAGAGCAACAAATACAATGGATAAAGTATGCAAAGTCACGCGACAGAAACAAATCAAATACTATGATTTTATTCCTTTTTTCGATTTTCAATATGAAAAAATTATTTTCAATTGTCAGCCCTGCCACTTTTCACCTTGCTCCGTGGTCCCTGACACAAATAAGTGAGGAAAATAACGCAAAGTAAAATTAGGACGTTATTTAACAAAATAAATGTACACATCAATTAAATAAATAAATAATGCATGTACACAGAATAAAACTGTACATGCACACGTACCAAGATACGACTGAAATACAAATCTAAGTAATAAATCAGTAATGTAAGGATACAATGGTGTTAAATTCAAGCCTGGATTGCTAATCTCATCTAATAATACATTCAAATAATTCATTCATGGTGATGTCTTATACATAAAAATATGAGTTAGAATACCTTCATTGGAAGAGAGTGGGCAGAGAAAAGAATCACTACGTCATTCTGGGCATCCGCAGGAAACTTTGCTAATTCAGCCTGAACATTTTCTGCAAAGGCCTACATTAGGCAAATAAATAAAAAAACAATCCACCACTAAATAATTAAAAGGAGGCTAAGTGGATTGCAAAGACATTCCAATCATACAGAAATGTGTTCTCTTGGACAAGCTATTTGCACCTGGCAGATTCAGTAAACAAGCTACATGTGTAGCGAAGTATTTTATGACACAAATTCATTTCATAAAAATCCTAAATATGTTGATTGAATTTCCTTTGTTGCCTGTATTTCTTGGAATTTGGCTGTTACAGAGTCTCAGCAAAGTACTAGAAACTTGTAAATACCACGCTGACGTTTCTAAGCAATTTTCCTGTTGTTGTCACTTTAATCCATATATGAGTAGCGCATTATACAAAGCACTGGAGTGGCATATTTGTCAAAAATGATGACATTTCCTGTAAGGGGGAGGGGGAAGAGACTAAAAAAATTGGCAGAGGAGGCCCAAGAGTGTGAAGTTCTGTTTAGATTTTAAGTTAATATATCATTATTCATTTAAGATTTTTCCCCAATTCTGATTGGCTAAAAGCACATGCATAATTCACCATAACCAGTTTCCTGATGACCAAATTTGGAAGAATTTTGTGTTTAACGAGGAAATGACGTCAGAAATGCAGCCTGCTACAGGTTAAGGCACCATTACCGAGAAGACCTGGGGACAAGGTTGAGTTGTTTTGGTTGTGAAAACAAAAATGGAGGACACTTCACTCATTTCAAGAGTAAGAACTACAGTTGGAACTAGGCGAAATAACAGCTAAATACATAGCAAAAACAGCAAGAAGACAACTCGGAGGGCAACATCTGCTATTTGGAGAATATTTGCGGAGCTGGACAAACCTAAACGTACACTATTGAAGATGAACTTAACATCGATGCAGGTAAGCATGTTTTAGCTATGTTTTTAAAATAGGAATTACTCTGAATAAATAATAAAGCAATAAATGAATTCGGCTTTCGTAGGATATGAAGAATTAAGCAGATCTCGGAGGGTGTTTCCGATAACACACTTTTGGCCTCGGTGGATAACACACTCCGAGATCTGCTTAATTCTTCATATCCTACGAAAGCCGAATTCATTAATTGCTAATAATTTATCCCAACAATGACCAGAGTCAAGCTAGTAGGGATATTCAACTTAGTATTGGACTGTTTAGGTTTTAAATGTTTGTTAGAAACTGCCATGAAAAATGGATGGAGCAGAAAACTTTCAGTTGTGAACCACATTCCAGAATCATATTGACAACCTTCGAATTCCGAGAAGAATTGGAGTGGATTTATATATCCAGTTATAATCAAACACATATTGATACTTATTTACCTGAACTAAGCCTGGATGTGTTGGCCATCTGTCAATCACACTCCATTTAATGGCTGGCACAGCTCCTTTCTGCTGGTAATGTCTGTAGATTGCATTTAAACTGCTTCCAGTAGTGGAACAAGAGTATTGCGGATACTGAGTGAATGCTACTGCCCTTTCTATTCCATCCCTACAGAATTACGATTAACGCAGCATGAATGAAACAGTAACACTTGCATTCAACTTTTGTGGCCTGGATTTACTGATAAAATACAAAACACTGTATTCTTATTTTTTTCTTCGTAACGTTTAGGATTTTTATGGCTGCTATAACAACTCTTACATTGAATCTTATATAACTAGTCACCTACCTTTCCATCTCATCAACAGTGTCCTCTGTCAGGGGATGCACATAACGAAATCCAATGTAAAACTTGTGTGGTGCTATAAATTAATTTTCAACAAAAATTCATTATACATTTATTTTACAATACATAATAACCAGGTGGAATCTGGGTGATTGTAGTCCCGCATAGGACTGTTGCTGACAGTTTCTGTGACAAGTTTTGACAACCTCAAGTATAGCAGGGCTCGAAATTGCAACTGATACGGTCACCAACACAACTAATATTTTCTCCTTGGCAACTAAAAATTCTGGTTTAGTTGCCACTTTGGTGACCAGATTTCTCTATGATTTACATTTAGGTAAAATAATTAAGAGAGTAATGTTAAAACAAACATTTCATCTTTTTTTTTTATAATAACACTTTTATAATGGAAATGCAAAGCACCTTTTAGTTAGTAGGACAGACTCCTCATATTTTTGTTGTATCATGTTTTAATTTGCAATTTTGCAATTAGTAGTCAAATTTGTAAAACATTTTTAGGTTTAAATAGTTGTAAATGCTGTAACATCGGATTTTGCGTTTTTCTCTTGTTATATTAATGTAAATGTAAGTATTGTCATTCAAGTGTTGTAACATTTCATCTTATCTTGCTTTGCTTTCATCATAAAAATTGTGCCAAATCGCACAAACAAAGCCACTATACCCCCAAATTTATACCGACTTCAATCCGCGATATTTTCAAACAATCAAATCTGATAGGATTGCGCCATACTATGAGCTGTGTCATTTACATTATACAAACTGCATAGTCATCTTCAGAGTCAGAGTGGGTTGTACCATGTCAGTTGATGGTTATTGACCTGATTGGTCAATTAAATGGAGATGTAATTGATCTGTCAGTCAAGCCATGATGAAATGACCTTTCACTGTTTATAATTATTGGCACAATAATATTATACCATGAGGTAGAATGAAAGAAAGGTTTACCAGTTTCAGGGCACATCTCATCCAGCAGTTTGACCATCCCTTCACCCTGTTTCTCAGTCCACATTTTGATGGGAGAACCTCCACCAATTTTCTCATATTGTTTTTGTATTTTAGGAGTTCTTCTTCTTGCAATCCAGGCAGCCATTTTACTGTGATCCATTAATTTAAGAAAAAAAAAGCAAAAGGACAAATAGGTAAATCATCCATTAAAAGCTACAAGCGTCAAATATATATTATTATTAACACATATAGCAACTTGAAAAAAAATGTGTTTATTTTATCAGAAGAAATTGCATTTAAATTAACCTTTTGCTGCATGTGCATGTTAATAACTTGCACTATCCATTTGCATTGTCAAATGCTGGAAAAAAAATGTATGGACTACTGTTTTGTTCCTGAGTGCAATCATGCACAGGAATAGCCTCACTTGGATTTGGCTCCACAGTGGGGCTGGCAAAAAAGGCACAAAACTGGATGAGACAGCAGAAAACTCTTTTGTTCAAGACATTTCAATGACAAGTTAATAGCTGGTGCTAGCAGATCTGTGGCATCAAAGGCATGTCTACAGGCTCTGCCACCATTCCCCCTCTCCAGACCCGGGGTACTGCCATATATGGGCTATATAGGTATGTACCGCTGTGAAGGGTATGGCTTTCAAGCAGTTTACTCTAGGATAGGGTATATAAATCAGAGTGTTTGGGTCTAGAATAGGGTATCATTTTTTCAGGAAACTGATCAGTTAGTTGAGGATTCTAGCCAGACTATGGACTGTGGTATAAGGTTTTGTTTCGGCTAGACTGTGCTAGTGACCTCAGTGGTTTCTAGAAAACAGCTACTCTAAAATAGGGGGGATTTGGGGAGTTTACTCTAGTATAGCGTAGCAAAATTCAGCTGAACTAGCTCTGCTATAGGTTAAGGGTTCCAGGGTCCCAGCGGCACATCCCCACCCAGAAATTCCCAAAGTACCCCCCCCCGGGTCTCCAGACTACGACTCAACATGCTTTGCTTGCCAATTTTGCGATGTGACGTAAACGACTTTCTCCTCTCCATCTGATTAACATTCTCCTCAAAAGTGTTCTTATTATAGGAAGAGAAATGAGTGATCACATAGTATATGTAAGCTTGTTTATTGTAGTCTACAGACCTTTGAGCTGGTAACACCATGAGGTCTCGATCAGAAAAGAGTCGCAATAGGAAATCATGTACATCATCTGTTGTTTCGGGGCCACCCATGTTCAATAGCATTACGCCAGTCTTTGGCTTTGAACCGACTTGCACTGTACTGAAAAAAAAAAACACAAAAAAATGAATAGATACTACTTATCTGTTCCTTTGTTGTCATGAAGACAAACTTTGCGTAGAACCCCAGCAAAGAAAAACCAAGTTGCATGGATATTGTTCTTTCCATCTGCATCTGGAGTTACGTAACTTGAAACCACTTGACTTTGTTGAGTACCTCGATCGATCGAGAAGCTCACTTTCTTAGACCTTCTGGGCCGGCAAAGGGAAAATACACACGGAAAATACAAAAAACACATTGAATGTATAAAAAGTGAATGTTTACCTATCAATTTTTGGTTGGGAAACTCCACTCGCTGAACTGGCAGAGGACGTTTTGAGACAGAACACTCGTGAAAGACATGGTAGATAATTTTTGAGAAGTTGCCTCGACTGTGATGGTAGAATATCTGGAAAAATCAACAAAATGCACTAAGAGCCGAGGAAACTGTTCATGAAACATATCATTTAAAACTTACTGTGATTTGTCTGTACTTTACGACAAAATCTTAAGGCCATTTTGAGGAACAATACGAGGGTGCAATATTGATCAGTTGTAGAAAATCTGCCAGGCGTTCCCCCAGCTCACGAAATCAGAGAAAGAAACTGGTACCGGCTCCTTATATCGCGTTACATTTAACGTTACATACGCGCGCTCTCTCAACCGTGGAATGTACTCTCAGCTTCGTGTAAACCATTTGTAAACCATAAACCAACAACGATTCATTGTCATGACCACGCGTCAATTTCAAAGACCTGTCGTTATTTTGTTGCTCACGATATCCTCGAAGAACGTGCTCGCAGGCAATCGCCTCATGGCCTCACGGCCGCTTGCGCCAAAGTCACGCAATACTACTTGCGTGACTGCAGTTACGAGAAATCGCGACAACGTCGCTGCGCACGCGGCTACGTTTTCACTGTCGTCACTTGTTTCCATCCGCCAAACTGACATCTTCCTCTCAGTGGCTCTCACAAGAAATTTCACTTTTCTTACATGAAGTTTCTCTGTCTCTTGAAATTTCTGTTCATAAAAGTCCTCAAAGAAAATTCTTTCCACTTCAATGGATTTCCCATGGTACTGCAATGGGCACAAAGACAGCAGTTTCTCTAGTTCAAGTTCAAGTTCAAGTTCATTTATTCACACTTATTCAATTACAATACAACAACAATAAGGAATAAAAAACAGAGCTAACTATGCATCGAATTAAACATAACAAAGGAAAAGAGTGTGTAGCAGCCAAAGGAGCCAAGCTTTCGAGTTGGCTACTACCACATAGCGGTTTCAAGTGGGTGGAGGTTATATATTTTTTTGCCAATATTTTTATGGCACACATTGAAACAACAATTCTAAGCAGAACCGTTTTTAAACCTACAGTTTGGAAAGGCTACATTGACGGTATCTTTTCCCTATGGGATGGAGACATAAGTAAACCAGACATCGAAGCCTCCATCGAACAAGATCGCACTGACACTGAGACTGTGTTTTTAGACACGGTTGTATACAAAGGCACAAGATTCAAGGAAAAATCTATCCTTGATGTAAAGACACATTTTAAAAAACGGAAACATTCCAGTACACACATTTCACCTCTTGTCACCCGCCGAGTGTTAAAAAAGGATTTGTCAAAGGAGAAGCCTTGAGAATCCTACGAACAAACTCCTCAAGAAAAACCTTTGGCAGAAATCAGAGACAGCCAGCGGTCAATTTGGGGGCTCATGCCTGTTCTCCATTTCTTTCAAAATATTGGCACAGAAATGAAGTTTGAGGATAATATTTCAAATTTCAAAAAACGCCTGATTGACGGAGGCTACCCACAAACTATGACAGAAACCCTCTATCAGATATAAATGACAGAGAGGGAGTCTGCACTCCTGAAACAAAACAACAAAGAGGAAAAAGAAATATTGCCTTTCGTGACACAGTATCAGCCCTCAGTGTCTTCTTTAAAAGAAGTTCTAATGAAAAAATGGAATCTTATACAAAACCAACCGTTACTTCGCCAAATTTTAAAAGAATTGAACCATCTATCATTTCCTACAAGAAAGGAAAATCCCTAAAGGACATGCTCGTTAGAGCTAAAATATATGTGCGGCCTGTCACCCCTTGCATTTTCTCAGGCAAAACCCCCGTGCACGTGGAGAATGATATTAAGAGCAGAAATAACAAAAAACGACATTTCAAACATCCTGTGGCTTGAATTTCTGATCAAATGAAACTGCGATAGGTCAGCGGTGCCCTGTTAGTGTTGAGTAAAAAAAGTCGTGCCGAAAAAAAACAGTCGCGCCAAAAAAAAGTCGTGCCAAAAAAAAAGGTCGCGAAAAAAAAAGAGTCGTGCCGAAAACAAAAAGTCGCGCCAATCGTGCTGTGACAAAAAGTCGTGCCAAAAAAAGTCGTGTACGTGGAAAAAAAGTCGTGCCGAAAAAAAAGTCGTACCGAAAAAGAAAAGTCGTGCCAATAGAACAGTCGTGCCGAAAAAAAGAGTCGTGCCAGAGAAAACTAACATCGTGAAAAAGAAATTTGATGCGAAAAATTATGTGGCACTAACTGGGCTCAGTTAGAAATTACATGAGTAGAACGCTTGTTTTGGCTAAAAGCTCAAAGAACGAAATATACCATATGCGTTTTTTTTCCCATAAGTGTCGTTGTGGGATTAAAGAACTTGGACCTAGCTCTAACCCTGACTACGTAGCCACGTTACGTAGCCACTGTTAAGTTAAGCGGAAGTCCTTTCCAATATCATTCTCTCCTTCCAATATGGCGTGCCAAGCGCTCATAACTTGTCTAGAATCCTATCTGCTATCCCTGAAAAGCTGTTACGCCTCACTCTCAGGAGGAGATCCTACGCCTGAGTGTATTAGAGACCACCTAGCTGCTCTAATCAGCGATTACGTGAGTCATATGCTACAGCTAGAAGACCATACAAGGAAACCACTTCGTGTCCTTGGAATTGGAAGTGGGGATGGGTGTAAAGATATTTGTTTTCTTGAAGTGCTAAGCAATGGTGGTCCCAAAATAAGAGACAAATATCAGCTCTTTCAACGTACCATCGAACCAAACGAGGAAAGTCTGGAAACCTTTCAAGATAAATCAAAATATTTGCCCGAGCGTTTGACGAGCGGAGCTGATGTCAAATTTGAATGGTTCCCCATGACATTCCAAGAGTATGTTAAAAAGGAAAAGAAAGATGACATCAATTTCGATGTGGTTCACTTTTTCCATAGCGCTTACTACGTTGATTTCGAAACAGCGCTCGTGTATTGCTATGAGAAGGAACTCGGATCCAAGGGAATAATTGCATGCGCTATTTCGCATGAAGAGAGTGCGTTTGTAAGGTATAGCAAAGAATTTTCTCAACAAGGCTTGATCTTGAACCCTGGCCCTTACTACAGCAGCAAGGACATCACAGATTTGGCTAAAAAGAATAGCTGGAAATATTTGGAATGTCCTGGTCACTACATTGCCTGTGACATAACTTCTATCTTCGACCATTCTTCGGTAGAGGGAAATCAGTTATTAAATTTCCTAACACACTGGGTTGATTTCCGTGCAACTGCAAGCCAAGAAAATAGGCAGAAAGTTCTTGATTACTGGAAAAATGTTTGTGAGGAAGATAAAGACTTTGAAAAAAGAACAGTCTGGATGAAGGTGTGCATGATCGTAATTGTAAAAGGAATGTAGAATTATACTTCACCTGCAGTAATACATTAATTTTGTTTTCTTAAAAATTACAACACACTGATGCTAATGTTCACATGGGATCATTTCCCACAAACTAAAGGGAAGCACAGACCGCCACAAATGACCCAGTTGATTGGGATAGGATATTCATGCAAATGGTACTCGAAGGTGGAGATAGTGAGAAGTCAAATGTAAAATCAGGAGTCCCACAAGGAACAGTCTTAGGGCCCCTTTGCTTTTTACTCTACATTAATGACATGGGAAATAACATCTCATCCAATCTGAAACTTTTTCCTGATGACACCCTCCTGTATGGCCTTGTCCATAATGCAAGTGATGTTCTTCATCATCAACGAGACCTAGACAGCCTTGTTACCTGGGCACAGGAATGGCAAATGAACCTCCACCCTCTAAATGTTATTTTCTTCACATTTACAGGATCAAGTTCTAACCCTATTATACACCATTACACCATGCTAGGTCAAACAGTAAAAGCTGTTGACCACCAACCTTATCTGGGCATTACCAACTCAGAAACACTTAACTGGAAAACTCATATCTTGGACGTGAAGAATAAAGCAAATAAGACCTTAGGCTGCATTAAAAGGAATCTCCACTTATGTCCAGAAAGAGTTAAAGCACAAGCATACACCTCCTTAGTGAGACCTATCCTAGAATATGGAAGTACTGTATGGGATCCTTACAGGATGTATCAAAACTCCTGGCTCGAACAAGTACAGCAACGTGCTGCGCGTTTTGCCACTAAAACATATTCAGGACAGGAAGGATGGGTTACCCAAACACTAAAGACACTAAACCATCTTAATTGGCCAACATTGGAGCATAGAAGGAAAGTGAACAGACTAACTTTAATGTACAAGACACTACATCACCAAGCAGCAATCAATATACCACCTTATGTGCAACATAAAACTGTAATAAAAACTAGAAACTCTGACCCAATGAAGTTTATTCCAGTACAAACATCATGTGATGAGTATAAATACAGTTTCTGGCCTAGAACAATTAATGACTGGAACAGTTTGATGCCAAATATCATAAACATGACCTCAACAAGTAATTTTAAAGCTGCTGTAAATAATTGTGTGCTGCTGCTGTCGATAATTATGCGCTAGATGTCCTTATAGGATTTTGCAAATAAATTATGTAGCTGTAGACGTCATGTTTAGGGTAATGCTAGAATTATACACCTTGGTTTTTAGACCAAAACAACTTTGACTAGGGGATAGGAAGGGGGCTTATTTTTTCTGCTTAGAGGAGTTGTTAGCATGCTGCAAAAGTTAGAAAATATGGACTGACTCAACAGTTTTGTCTGAGATTGTAGCACTACTTGTGGATGCACATACAAATGATAAGCAAAACACATTCTGTTTATGAAAACTCTGACTACTGACACTTTTTCTTTGTTTCATAGATTAATGAAGAAAAACATTTAGAATTTGTTTTGTATCTGGAAACAAAGTTTTCACAAATTATTTTATCTTGATTTGTGGTCTGTCAATTTTTTACTTACCATTAAAAGGAAAATAATAAAAGGAGAGATGAATGACGTAAATGAATTTACTGAAACATCAGACACCAAGCCCTAATCCCAGGTGTAGGATAAACACCCCTATGCCTCTATCCTGACCATATCATTTGTCCTAATCCAAGACAGTCTAACAGACACTCTTGGATTCTGGATCCCACGTCGTGGATTCCTCATTCCAGGTACTTGATTTCAGTCTTTGTTGATTCCAATCGTTACTGGGATTCCGGATTCCTTGAGCTGTTTTCTGGATTCCAAAGCCCAGGATTCCGGATTCCACGAGCAAAAATTTCGCGTATTCCGTTACATGGGTCAAGCTGTACATTATGATTCTTTGAAGATCATAACAGTCCTGTTTTCAAACGTTACTAGCTTTTGTCCATGGCTACTAGCAGTGCATTCATTTTCCCAGAAGCTTAAAATTTTCTTTAGATTTTCTTCTCCTGCAGTCTGTGAAATGTTCTTCCATTGCGTTAGGAAGTCAAGCAAAAGATTGCCCTCCACTGAAGAACGATCGAAAATGCCTGCTATGTTACAGGAAACCGACTCGCCTGAACATTCCTTGTACTTCCACCCATTTCTTTTAGCTATATCTATAACTTCCTTGTTGCTGTAGTGAGATCCAGGGCTCAAAATCAAGCCTTCCGAAGAAAACGCTTTGCCATATCTCGCATATGGAGAGTTAAAATCTGGAGTAATTGAAAAAATTACCCCTTTCGGCCCAAGTTCTTTCTCATAGCAATGCTTTAGCGCTGTTTCAAGATCAGGACCAATGTAGTATATGCTGTGTAGAAAATGAACCACATTAAATTTGACAACTTTGCTTTTGGTTTGTTCAATATACTCGTCGTATGTCATGGGGAACCATTCAAAATCAACATTACCAAGTACTCTGTTCTTCAAACGCACGCGCAAATCTTCTGCTTCCGCGCGAAAGGACCCCAGCTTAGCTTCGTCTGGTTCAATGGCATGCTGAAAGATCCACGGTCTGATACCTGCTCCTTGAAGGGATTTGATCAGCATTTCAATGAAAGACAAATCATTACTACCTTCTCCACTTCCTACGCTTAGAACACAAAAGGGCAATTTCTCCGCAGTATGAACTTTGAAAAGGTCACTCAAAAGGGGAACTACGTGCCCTTCAAGGCATTTGAGGGTAAGATTCCCTTTCTTTGAATCAAGTGAAGCAATAAAACTGTTAAGAGATTTTACATAGGCTTCTTGACAGCTTACGAGAGAGCAACCCCCAAGCTCAGCAGCCATAGTTTGACTATTAAAGCAGAACGTGACAAACACCCTCCTCTTGCGTGACGCTTCCAAAACTTCCCGCAACCAGGGCCCCTCGCGCTAAAAATATCAGCGCTTTGGAAGACTAAGTCCTACTAAACGGAAAGTGTCATGGCGGTCTCTCATAAGGTTTAGTGGTGTTATTTTTGTCTTCTTAAAATGGTATGTAAATTTGCCTTTATGTGCGATTTGTCAAATAGTAAAAACAAGTACGTTTTGGTATTATGACAGGTCAAATTTTCATTCTTTTCCTCAGTCTTCGCGGGCTAATTCCGCCGCCAAAAGACCTTCTTCAGCTGCTACAAATGGCGGTCGCCGATCCGTTAGCAGTGCTCAGGGAGTTTCATCTTCGGAGAAGCCACCGTCGGGAAAGACGAAGGACATCGCGCAGGGCCTGCTTAGCAAGGAAGAAGAGTACATGTAAGTAAGGGGAAAACTAGACACCGTCGACATTCCAGTAACGTTATGCACAACCGTATTCTAACTTCTAGCAGTTAAGCTTAATACGTTGTTTCAGTTCAAGTCTGGGCGATTACAACTCGTAACCAGAGCCTCAGAGGTTGGAATCTTTTCCGGAGAACTCTGATACTTTTTGTGTCGCTGTGTCTCTAACGGAGTAAACATCGGTCTCATGCATTTAACCAGGCTGTCATTCAGTATAATTATTCCCAATGAGATTCCAGCCCTAGCAGTGTGCAGGAGTTTTTTTCACTGGTCGTTTGGATACAAAGTCGTTTCAGTACATGTCGTTTCGCTACGAGCTCACGCAGTGACACGTCAAGCACCATTTACAGACAAAACATCAAATTGATTGGGACTCTGCAGCATGAATTACATATTCTACAGACTACTATCAACAACTCACTTTAGACGCCTGGTTTACTAACTTAGAACAAATTAATGCCTGTGAATTGTAGTCAACAGTTACCGGCACTGTACAAACGACTTATTGACATAATCAAGCAAAACTACCAATGAGAGAACAACTGGACACTGACAATAATCTTACTAACAATAAACAACTGTTTAGCTACGACAATAGTCGGATTGAAATGCACCAAAGACAATATGAGCCTTCACAGCCAATAACATCACAGCTTAACTGACAGACGACCAATAACATCATGACTTAATTGACCAATCAGGTCAATAACCAGAGTTTAATACCATCAACTGACGTGATAGAACTCACTTTGACTCTGAAGATGACTACCGCACAGGTTGTGGAAACATCAGTCACTGCCAACAACAACAGTCCTATTCAGGACTACGTTCACCTGGGCAATTATACTCAACCTACTTATGAAATGACACCTGGGTTCAAACCTTTCACAATGAAAATTCTGTTTTCTAGTGAGGCAGTGCTGTCACCTTACCGTTTCTATAAGTAATATAATGTTTTTGTTCCACCTGGATAAATGTTAAAATTATTTTGTTTGAAAGGAATATCTTGTCTTTTGTTTCTAAGGCGATTAAATGCAGAGCTGGAGGAAAGAACTGCAAGTTTGATTAAGGAGGCAGAGGAAGTCATGGTAAATTAACCTACATTTCTTCACCAGTTGCCAGTCCTTAGAGCATTACACTGTAATGAATACTGATACAGGCACCAGTGGTGATGCTCCTAAATTTCCCACATTTGAAACCAAATCCTGAAAATTAGTCACTGAACTGGCATTCTTTCATTCTCCATCATGCATGTACCCCACTTGTTCCCAGTGTACAGTTTGATTTTAATGAAAAGAAAAGATTTTAAAGTTGGCACCTGGGACTACCAGGTACTGATAGCACACAGTCCTGAAACTGCAAATTTTGGTACATCACTAAGTGTGTTTAGGCTGGAAAGTCAATGTTTTTATTCATGTATACAGGTGTAAATAAGAAGAAAAAGAAAGAAAAAAAGCCTATGATGATTGTTAAGAAAATCACTAACTGTTATTCAGATATGCATTTTAGAATGGTGCAACACAATGTGTTTTTTAGAAGTCAAAAATGCTTGAGCCACAAGCAGATTGGTCTCCTTTTAGGTATTAATAATATTTGAAGTCCCATTTTTGATGAGTATCCCATCCCCTTTATGTGGTAGTCCTTCCCTGGGAATGTCTCCATAAAGATCCTGGGCCCTCTTCAGCTACTCTTGTTATAGCTACTTCCTCTGTGAAACCCAAAAAAGTTTATAAAATAATTATCACTTGTTGCTTCATGCCAAAAATGGTTAAATCTATGAGAATGTCACCAGACCTGGTGTTATCTTAGCTTGATCAGGAGGAGCTCCTTGCCAGACCTAGCACAACAGAAGTGGAATACACAGATGACTTGGAGTGAGTAGTGTTATTTAGTTCAGTGTTTCTCTTCACTCCATATAGCACACTTTGCTATACATGTACATGCTCAATACAGAATGTAGTTTAAATCTGTTATCACACATTTCTACAACAAGACAATCAAATAAATATCTGCCAATTGCAGAGGTAATATCATCCCCCCCCCTCCTCCTCACCCCCTATATAATCCATGATTTACCATGTATTCAATTTTTTGGAGCTTTTTGGATCCAGATAATATGTATCTGACCTCCCAGTTAAAGGCCCATCTACCTGCAAACAAAAAAAAATAAATCTGATTATAAGCCTATAAGCCCTCCTCTAGCTTGAATGATTGATGTACTACGAAGTTTTGAAGTTTAATTAAAACCAGTAAATGCAAAACACATTAATTTTGTTGAGCACTACTATAACTTTGTTTTGATGCACTTTATGTATAAGCACTCCTACATTTTTAAAACCCCTCATGGAGATGTTTAAGTCCAGGGCATATTATAAGTGGCAGTTTACCATGTTTAGTACAGTATTTCCACATATGGTGCAGTATCTCACCATGTCTATTCTAGTGTACATGTAGTTCAACATACTTATGAAAAAAAAAACCTTTTTGTTTGACCAGTGATTTTTTGCCATCAGTGGATTTGTCACAAGTCAACAAACCTGCTTCAGCAGCCACCAAACAGGTATTTTCCTTCAGCTGTTAATATTTAAAACTGTGTTTTATTTTTCAGGTTAATGTACATGTACACCAGTACTCTTGTTAGACACATATGTTTTCCAGATATCAGTCCTAAAACAATACCGAAAATTTTATCTTGGACACAAGAACCTGTTCTCCTTAACTTCTTCATTTCTTCTTGGAATGTGAACTGTGACATTTTCAAATCTGCATTTCCTTTTTTAATTATTTTAGAAATCAGGAGTCAGTGTAAGACCTTTGAGTGGCACAACAGGAAAACAAGGATCACGGCCAACTTCAAGAGCAAAGAGGACAAGGTGGATTAAAATAATTTATAATGATGCAGTATTAAAATTTCAGTACTTTTAACCATAATGTACATGCACAACTCATCACTCACCATACAAATTCACCTATCTTCCTACAAATTAAGCAGTTTTTATAAAAAAAGCATTGAACAGTAGTAGCCATAAACTAATAGTTGCTATCAAAATAATACCAAAGGGGCAATAGTCTCTATGAGCAGGGTCTATGGGAAGGCTATTATTATTGTTATTACAATTTTTTTTGATAAGACAACATTTGCACTTTGAAGTATCAATTAAAACATCACTGTAATAGATAAAATTAATGTTTAAGAACTCTACACCACTCACACCTTAACAGAAGTCATTGGCAGGTCGTGGATTTTGATTGGGGGAGGGGTCATTTTCAGATCCAATTTGTATCTTTTAAGTGCTTATCACCCCAAAATTGTTAAAGAAAAGAATGAAAATAGAAAATTTCTAATAAATGAAGCTGCAGATTGTTTTGAATTTTAGATGAATTCTTAATTTTTTACAGATTTTTAAATAATTATGTAGAATTAAACTCATCAACAATAGATGAGCTTGGGAAAGGTGCCTGGAAAGATGGTGGAGCCACAAGCACAAGAGCTGAGCACCTAGGGTAACCATGGCAATCCTGTGAGCTGTGGAATTTTGGGCCTGGGGCGAGTAAGGTATTTTGAGGCATTGTTCACCCTAATATGCCTAGCACGCGTATCAGAGTTCGACATCGTGTGGGACACACTGTTTCAATATTCATCTCTCTTTTTACATGCCATTCAATTTCTCAAATGTTAGTGATTTTTCTGAAGTTATATTCTAAAGGGCTGCATCTAGGTTCAAAAAATAGAATTAGAACATCGTTGTCTTGTGTTCAGTCCTCCATAGAACATGAAATTAGGAAGTTTCACGTGGTGGTCCTGCATCGACGGCAAAGAAATGTACAAAAAAGTGTGAAAAAAACTGTTGTTTTACTACTCCAAACCTGTTGTTTCTTTGTCATTCTTGTTGCTTTCGTCGTCGCTTAGTCTAAGTTGAACCACCATCTTCCCACCTGAATAAAATGTCTCACTCGCAAAGCCTGTCAAGGCCGATTCTGACGACTCAGAATGGAATTTTATTCCTGGGGTTGTAACGAGTATCCAGCAAAACTTCCAAGAAGAAGTTGAAAATTATGACCCAACTACACAAGCGAGCGGGGAGGCTGAATATGAATATGTTGTAATTCCTTATGCACACTAGCCTTTGGCGAGTGAAGTCAACAGTTTATCCAAGAGTACAATAGGAAAAGAGCAATGGAAGAGGGATTAAGGGAGAAGCTACAACAAAGTGAGGCAGAGCTAAGAACAATGCATCAAAATACGTCATTGTTTCACTCGACCCAGGGAACTATCTAAGCAGCCTTCTGACCAAATACTGTTCAAATACTGTAGGCAAATACTATAGGCAAATTTTGTTCTCTTTAACCGAGCATGGAGTCCACTAATTTTATCCAATTGAAGCAAATTGAAGCTGAAAGCGCATAGAATTCATCAAATTGTTTTCAAATTTGGGGTAATATGCACTTTAAAAGATGGAGGAGAGGGTATCTGTAGTAAAAAGTGGGAAGTGTATCTGTTGTAGGTAAAATCTATCTCAAGTTAAATCAGTATTTAACCTAGTTTGATTCAGAATTTCCTTTGTTTCCTAGCGTGAAGTGTGACATCACAAAAATTCAAATTTGTGAAATTATGGGATTGTATGGCATATTCCCCTTGCCAAAAATCAGTCTTTTAGTGCAAATTGGCTGGGAGATAATTTATAAGTACCGTTATGCTCTGAAGACTCCCTACAATCCTTCTAAAAGTTAATTGGCTTTGACGAGGCCTGTTTTAGAAGGATTTATAGGGGTTCCTTGGAGCATAGCAATGCTTATATCTCCCTGCCAATTAATTTTGCCCTATCATGCTGTTGTTTTTTCTGGATTGGCAACCAATCCCTTAATTTCAAAAATTTAGTTTTTTGTTAGCCTGAATTTCATCCGATTACTTCAAGTCGTTATTACTCCCTCAGTAATTTGAGAGGAGAAAACGACTCGAAGCAGTCGGATCAATTTCAGGCTAGTTTTTTGTGAGGTCATTACTTCTCTTCCCTTTTAAGTACATGTAAGTTAATTTGTGAAGTGAACATTCTTTTAGGCCTAAGTCCAAGACAGCATCAGCTCCTGGGAGTGTAGCAAACACACCCATCCCTCCCGATCATGCCGCAATGGACATGCTTCATGACAGGATTACCCTGGCAAATACAATCAGCACTCTGGAGGATGATGCACGAGATGACAGTTACACAACTACTGTTGATGATAATGTGTTACCTGTTGGGGCTGAAGACATGGGATCAGGTTTGTAAGACTTGTTGTCGAAGATAGGCCTGCTTAAGCAACAGACAGGAATCACGAGGGCATGTTTGAGTTCTGGATGGCTTTCCTAGGAATTAAGAGGTTTATAACTGGGTGGCAATTTCACAGTTTGAGTTATGGAAAGGGTAAGCAAAACTGCAATTTAAGTGAATCTAGAGGGGTCTTTCTTGAAGATATGCACCTAATGACTGACCCACTTAGGTATTTTAAGGGGTCAATGAAGAAAAAAGTAAATTAAAGTTGTTTAGTCATCTATAGCTTACATATTAAACCTGGAATTCTTAAGCCGAGGAAAGAAGGAACGCGTAAAACGTGAGAGATGAGCATTGATGTAACTGATTGGAGAATTAGAGGAGGAGAGAAAAACTTTTTTATCTCTTCGCCTGTCTGACGTTTAGCCCCTAAGGTTAAGTGTTTTTAAACGCTTAATCACCATGATTGTCTTATTGCTTATTTCTTTAGAAGCAACTATTAGGTTTCTTAAGGCAAAACTGAGGGTTATGCAGGAGGAACTAGACAGAGTTGTAGCTGAGTGCAACAAAAAGGTATAATTCTGAAAGTATTTTATTTGTAAAAAATCTTCATTTAAACATTTTCAGACTAATAAATGCACTTGTTCTTGTTGAAGGGCTGCGAAGGAGTCCAGATGACAGGAATTTTCTGAAGAATTTTTGTAATTAATTAAGATAGGAGTTCCACAGTGATAAATCTTGTGTTGCTTCTACCTGCAGGATGAGAAAACTACATTAGTTCAAAAGAAAGTGAAGGAACTGACAGAGGAACAGGGTAGATTACAAAAAAATAACCAGGGATTGCAGGTCAGTGCCACAATGTTTGTTACTGTAATTGTCTGATAAAGTCAAAAGTGCAGCCCCAAGTCTCTATTGGAGCAGTCTGCTGGGTAAGGACGGCAGGCGTATTAACCCTTTAAGCCCTAAGAGTGATCAGCATTAAATTTCTCCTTTTAATATCAATGCTTTGTAAAACAGTGGTCATGAGAATTAGGGACATGGTCACACAAGATGAAATTGCTTGATATTTTATCAACTTCTCCCCACTACTTCTGTAGGAAATGAATAGAAGCAACAAATGAGAATTCAAATTTTGATCTTAGGGTTTAAAGAATTAATGACTGTGAAACTAGTAGCACTATTTCTGAAGCTTTCCTTTGTGTTTTTAGGCTCAAATTGACAAATATAAGAAACTATACGATGAGTGCAAACACAAGAATGAAGGACTGGAACAACAGCTGGTGGCTTTGAGGAAGGTAACCCCATCAGCTTGGTAGCTGTATTGTTCTTGTTGCTGCCATAAGCCATAGTCTGCTTGTCTTGGCACAACTCTCTCTCTTCTTGCACGGATACACAAGTCAACAACAAATACTTGCTTTTGCATTTCAGGAAGTGACTATTTAACGCGTTTTGGCCGATTTTTTATGTTCACACCTGTATAACTACCCTGGGTGCCAGAGGCTTTTTATGCGGGGTCCCGGTTTTGGCCGAAGACGTGTCGACTGGCGGCCGACGAAGCTCCTCGTCGCAGCGAGAAAAACCCTCTGGTACCCAGGGTACTCTGTGTAGCAGACTAGGCTACTGTATGACCGTCCACAAATTAAACAAGACCCGAGGTCTTCGTCTGAATTGAATGGGTGGTAGCCACTCGAATAGTTTGCTAGGTGGCACTTTCATTTAACCTTTGCGTGTTTCAACGGATTATCAACAAGAATCACTTCGTGAATTTTACCGGGGCCTTTTTTGTCTTGGCAACCCACGTGGAAGGGTCGTTTTCATCAACAAGTTTGTCGGGCGACATGAAAATCTTTTTTATTGCAAATATTCTTTAGAGATGAAAACAAGGTGTAATAAATAATGTGAAAAGAGAAAACGTTAGGGAATCCCCCATTTTGAACAGTTGAGAGTTTTCGCATGTCGCTAATGTAAATATTGCGTGACTAAAGTAAGCTTTGATAAGTGTTCGCATTGATCCTTGATAAGTTTCATGATGGAAGGTTCACTCAATGTAGATAACTTTGATAAGTCGCTTATTTTCTCGATAAGTTCCACGATGGAAGGTTCACTCTTAGGCGATGGCTCGTAAATTTGTCTCTCCAAATATTCACTCTCAAGTTTTCGCTCATAATAAACTAGTACATCGTAAAGGTTGGGGAACGTGTCGTTCCCAAAAAGCTATAATCTTTCTCTTGACTCTCCTCCATACCTCGTGCTTTTCAAAATGGCGGATAAGTTTTCAATGAACCAGCGATATATCTCAGCGAACACTCCGAAAAGTAACGAGCCAGCGATATATCTCAGTCAGCGATATATCCCTAACAATGTAACTTTGAAAAGACAGAAACGCGTTGCATTTTATGACCGGTGCCAGCCTTCGGCTAGGCCCCGGTAATTAATGGTTTACTTTACTATCAATGCAGGATCTTGACTCTCTTCAGAGAGATCAGAAGCAAGCTACTTCTAACAAAAATGTCACGGAAGTCAGGTAGGTGTAATGTACGAGTTAACGCTTATTCCTTCTATAACACAAATCAACCAATGAATGTTCCTCTCTTAGGTTTTCATCGACCTAAAAATAACTAGAAAAAATGATGTCAAACCGGTTGAATTACCTCAAAATAGCACCAGATGTTATTTTCATGACACTCCCGTAATTCCACCGCATTAAGATGAAAGGCCATGACGTTATCAGCGTTCATGCATTCCTCTGGAAAGTATAAGAGAAACAGTAAACGGCAAAAACGTGAATTTTTGTACACGGTGACCTAGTTAACCATTTACTTGCCATTTACTGTTCCCTATAACTACACGGAAATCAGACGATTCACGCCAGTTTTATCCATAAGAATTGTTTTGAACTGTTTTTGTCTGCCAGTCCTCTCTTTTGAAAATTCTCTACTTAAATCTGGTGTTTGACGTTTGCCGTTAACGTGACTTTAAATCTCCATTGCGATTCCTCCGTAAAAAAAGGTTAATTCGGAGCTCCCTCTACTACTAAAATTAGTCTAGATGAGATACAGGCTGTTGACGATTCAGATGGAGACTATAATAACCATACCCAAAACAACTCCTCCTCTCCAATTTTTATCTTGTAGGTTGAACCGGGCTCTGGAAGAAGTAGAGAAGTACAAAACTGCTCTTCAGAAGACCAAAAGTCAGTCTAAAGTGAGTACAGACACAGCCCTGCTTATATTCCTCTTGTACAAAGGGTTTGTGCCCGACCAGGCCATTAATTTAGTATGATAAACCAGAAAAGTTGCAGGATATGATAACAGGGTTTTACAGAGAAATATTCTTCACCACCAAAATTTCTTGAAAGTTACTTAGAGCTTTCAGAACCCATCCGAATCCCTTCATCAGTGACGTTTGCTGCTATTTGTTCCATAAATAGGTCATTATTTCCGACTTGCCTCAAGCCATTGATATGAAAATTATTTTTTTATACTCTTGCAAATAAAACTCATTTGCACAAGAAAAGTTTTGCATTTAGCCATACTGATGACTTTCCAGATCTGGGTAGTGCTCCTGATTGGTCATGCCGCGTGGGAAATTTGCACAACGCAGATCTTGGTACTGGGTGACGCGTCATCAGTATGGAATTTCTGCACTCGTTGACCATTAGAGCGGTTTTCATTTGAGTGTCGAAAGGTAATTGGTTTTGCGTTTACTACGCTACGTGATTGGCTTAAAAGATTCGCGCCACTTTTTTATCCAATCAGAAGGAAAACCAAAACCAATTGTGTCACGCTCGCATGCATTTTCCCGCGCTTTGTGTCAGCTACATGTAATTACTTCGATTTTTAATTGGTTCACTGTATTGTCTGTGTCCTTTGTGATTGGCCAGAGTAATTACTTTGGTTTTGGTTTTACGATAATCAAATGAAAACCGCTCTAATAAATCATTTCCGACTTGCCTCAAGCCATTGATATGAAAATGATTTTTTTTATTCTCATGCAAATAAAACTCTTTGCACCAGAAAGGTTTTGCACTGTCCCTGAATGTCTTTTTCAAAACTTGAAGCTTTTTGTTGTACTTGTTATTTCGTTCCCAGGACTCTGGTGAACAGGACAGAAAGCGCATTGAACAACTGCTGGCGGAAAACAAACGCCTCGAGAAACAAAAAAACGAACTAATGGCTGGTTTCAAGAAACAAATGAAGCTTATCGACGTTCTGAAAAGACAAAAGGTAACTTTTAACTTTCTTTTCTCTCCGCTGCTAATCAGCAGTGAGACATTTATCAAGTCCTTACGAGTATTGGTGGTGTGAGCAATCGCGTCGCTGGTTTCCTTCGCCCTAACCTGAGAAAACAGCCGACATTCGGCGACGCCACCACCGTTCTCCCCGCGAAATGACGTCTGAGAAACGAGCGCAAAAATTCTATACTGATGACGTGTCACTACCCAGATCTGGGTGGTGCTTCTGATTGGCCGTGCCGCGTAGGGTATTTGCTTCAACCAATCAGAAGCACTAGGCAGATCTGGGTAGTGAGGCGTCATCAGTATGGAATTTTTTAGCGCTTTGCTCAGACTTTATTTGGCAGGGAAACCAGTGGTGGCGTCGCGAAACGTCTGCTGTTTTCTCAGGCTAGCTTCGCCCTAAATCATAAGAGGACGTAAAGGAACCCATGCTACTGATTAAAAAGAGCAGTGGCGTAGACCCTGAAATCATGCTCCACCACTGGTCTTGATAGTTTGGGGTGAGATGATACATAAACAGAAGTGCCACCAAACTGCGCCTGTATATATGTATACACCTCTATGGCTTCTCCGTAATTTAGCCATAAAGGAGGTAAATTGGTATCCGTTCTATTATTGAAGCAAACGACTGGAACCACTTGTTTGCGTCAGGACACCCTTAACTGCCTTTCTCGCCAGCGAGACTGTCCTGGCTTTGATCTGTTCCTCCTGGGTAGTACACGGTATTTTGGAGTTGCCACCTACATATAACACAACTAAAGCAAATTGTTTGTGAGCGTTTCTTCAAAAAACGTACAATGTAGGTGAAAAGAATTTGGGACTCGGTGGAAAAACCCCTCCAAGTAACTGTAACATAGGACTCTGCTACTAGTAACAATGTTTCGATCCGCTTTGGGTTCAGCCCTTCATACCCCCACTCCCCTGCACGACAACTGTTTGACCCCAAGAAGACTCATTTCCACCCATTTTGATCAAAATTCAACATTGTCGAGGGTGGAGGGGTTAGGTAGCCAGTTGTACTGATATCACTGGGAAGGCCCCAACACTTTTGACCTCCATCATACATTATGGCCTCCGGCGGGGTGTTGATTTATCGAAGCTTTGATAAACCGGCCACCGTAAAACTGAAATTCCAACCTGGGGTCAGTTTAATAAAACTTTTACACTTGTAAAAGTTTTTGTAAATGACCCCTTTTCTCATCAACTGTTGGTATATCTTGTTGTTTTCTCCTAGATGCACATTGAAGCTGCCAAGCTGCTTCAATTTTCAGAGGAAGAATTTGTCAAAGCACTAGACTGGGGAACCTGAACCTCGCTAACTGAACGAAAGGACAAATCATCCATTGACATTCTTTGATTTCGCGCTGTGAATGAATACTAGTAATATCTGCTCGCGCTAACGCGTTAACTTTTGCAATTGTTCTGTAGAGAAAAGTTATGTAAGAAAACTTTTTACTCCAGGCTGGTATAGAGTTAATTTGCGAGTTTCCCAAACAATGCTTAATCATAACCAAAACCTGTTTTTGATAGTTTCTGCTTGTTTGGCGAGTTTGCAAAAGTTTTTTAAAGGCAAGTCTGACGAGTAGGAGTACCTCATTTGCACAGTGCAGCGCGTGCACTGGCTTTCAAGTCCGAGTCGGTGTTTTCAATTATCAACAAATCTTGACAAAGATTTTTTTCGTTGTCTTTTGTGCTGAGATGCCACAACAATTTTCACCAACGCCAAAACGCTACTAACATCAGTGTGTTTCTTTCACATAGTGAAACAATAAATTAGCCAAGCAGTTTTGATAACTCAACAAACAAACTCGAAATCTTTATTTAAATTTAAAGAAAGGGTTATCGTAAACTTTGGTGATGATTTCTGCTTTATTCACATATTTTCAGCTAAGCTTTTAATATGTTCTCAAACATTTGTCAATCTTAAATATATTCAAAAACTAGAGATATCATATGAGTTCAATGTACGTTTAATTTTCACACCAATGTACGGAGATTTTACTGACTGTACAAAACACGCATCGGTGGCTGCTCTTATTCATCGACTACAGACACTTTATTGGCTTTTTACACAAACAAAACTAACCAGCATCTACAGAACTAAACCCATTGTCACTTATAAATGTATAGTTGGGCCTTGATGAAACGTGAAGCGTTGCTTACAATTTAGGCGAAACTCAAACTTGCAATAAGCTTAATATTTTTTTACTTTTCTGTCGCGAGATCCTCGATAGCGTGTGGCAAGAGGAGGAAAACTTTTAAGTCTTGACGCGGAATATATCCAAGTATATCTTGTTTTTTGCTGTGTCATGGAAAAGCTGTTAATCTTCTACATTTGTGAAAGTTAGAGTGGAGTAACATGAAGTTCTTGTATAAAAAGAAGTAGCGGAACACAACTTGGTCAGTGATATAAAGCTGGACATACCTAAATTCGACACTGCCTTACTTCACTCAAACTGGAACAACTTACGACGAAAATACTTAAGCCAAATTCCAACAGACATAAACGTGGTGAGTTGTGGGCCAAAAGTATAAAAGATTTCGTGAATCTCGGACGCCATTTCCCCTGCGCGACATCCGCAAAAACCCTCGCAGCATGTACGCGCGTGTGCCGCAGGCGATGGCGCAATTTGTTCTAAAAATAGAAAAATTGTCCCATATCATGGGGCCAACCCTGGCCATACTAGAAATGGCGCGCGCTTACGGTCTCCGTCCCCGATTATGGCTCCTGCCGGTACTCATTACTGCAACATCGACTGCTGTAAAATGTCATCGCTTATTCTTTCGACTCTTCTTCATCCTGTCTTAAGCTAATTTTCATTTTTTGAACATGATGTAGTGGAAGAAGTATATTTATAAATAAAAATAAATGAAGAGAATTCTATGGCTAAATCTGTTCACTACTGAGCTAGACTTGTTTGTGTAGTGCGATCGTCCGGGTGAGGGTCACAGTAGTTCTGAAAAGAACTGTTGATGGTGGCTGACGTTTCGACAACTTGAGCGAAGTCATCTTCAGAGTCAAGTGAACAATGTTTGTCAGTCGATAATGTTATAAGTCTGCTCCGTTGAAAGTGATTAATCTGTTTAGACTTACCGTCTGTTGTCTTGTCATCCATGTTTGCAGACCTGAGAATAAACCGACAAAAGAGTTCAACAAATTTTGTACAAAACGGAGCGCAAAGATAGCAGTGAAATACTGTACGCTAAAATAATACTAATTAGGTATTTTTGACTTTTCCACAATTGGCTTCCGGTTCTTATAACTATTTTGTTTTCCTAAATATTATGGATATACGAAAATTCAAATGTTAAAATTCAAATTCAAACGTGAAGCGTTGCTTACAATTTAGGCGAAACTCAAACTTGCAATAAGCTTAATATTTTTTTACTTTTCTGTCGCGAAATCCTCTATAGCGTGTGGCAAGAGGAGGAAAACTTTTAAGTCTTGACGCGGAATATATCCAAGTATATCTTGTTTTTTGCTGTGTCATGGAAAAGCTGTTAATCTTCTACTGCTTCCGGTTCTTATAACTATTTTGTTTTCCTAAATATTATGGATATACGAAAATTCAAATGTTAAAATTCAAATTCAAACGTGAAGCGTTGCTTACAATTTTTAGTCCGACATGATGAATAAGTAAGCAAGCAAACGAGGGAGCGAAGGAACGAAAGAACGAAGAAATGAAGGAACCAGGGAGCAATGGAACGAAGGAACGTTAGATTGAGGGAACGGAGGAACGTGGGAACGGTGGAACGGAAGAACGAACGAATGAGCGGAGGAACAAACAAACAGAGGGGCGGGAGGACTGAGGAATAAATAGAGTTAAAATTAAAATCACTCACTCTCCATGAGGATGGACATCACTGGTGCGAGATCTGCAGTAGTCCATAACAACTTTACTTTTTGAGATGTTGCCAGGTGCATTGATTAATTCCTGAAAACAAATTCAAAGGTGTTAAAGTTTTGCTTTGGTGCTTGTCTTTGCTGAAGTATTATGGTTCACAAATCTGTGAATACACTTCTATTTGGTGACTGGATCAAAATTCTTTTTGACTTACGTGGCAAAATTGGTTCATCAAGCTTTGTCTCTTACAGGTTGCGTCTTTAAAGCAGAACCGGCAGTTTTCACTGAATTTCCTACCTAGGAAAGTAAGCAATTAATGCAAATTTCTCATGAATATTGTATGTTGTTTCTTTGACACACTTTTAAAATTAATAATTTTAGGTTTTTGTTACCTTTAAGGGCAGAGATTTCCTTTCCAAAGGCTGTCGGGAATTCCTTCTTGAGGCATAGCTACATTCAAGGACAACAAGACCAAAGAATATCAAATTATTTTCGATCTTCCCACACCGTCGTTATTGCGTCCTAACTATGCACAAATTGCTTTCTTGTAATGATTCGTATTGAGAGGAAAGAGGTTATCAACATTCCCTGAAATTCTTTTTTTAGTACAAATTACCATCCAGTGAAGTAGGTGTCGTCTATGAAATCTCTTCGTGTGCACATCAACCAAAATATGAACTAGAAATGCCTCAATATCGATGAATTGTTCCGGGCACTGGGTTGGCTTGATTTGAAAAGGTCTGAATCAGTTGCTGTTATGATGGACAAATCTTTACATGGGATGACCCCCGAGTATTTGAGTTCTAGATTTGTGATTTGTGTTTCGAGACGATACTGAAAACAAAAGTAAATAAATTGCCTCGCACCAATTATTTGAAGAAGAGTTTCTGTTGCAACATAGCAAGGTAGTGGAACAGCCGATCCAGTTACCTTCATGAAGCAATATCTTTGCATGATTTTAAACTTAAGATTCTTCACGCGCACCAGAGTTTTGACTAAGTTTTAACACGGCACCCTTGTCGTAAAGCAGCTTTTATATAGTATGTAGTTTAAGTTAGTTTCAGTTAGGGATAACTAGTGGATCTTTTATCATTTTATCATATTTGCTGAAAGATCTGCCATGTCACGGTATAAATAAAGTGGGAGGGGGAGGGCAACTTGAACAAATCTCGCCCGGCCCCTCCTTTTATATCATCCATGTTGCTTTTTGAGAATGAACAGCCAAACAAACTCCACAATATAATGACGTATGTGCAACAAAAACCTACGTCAGGGGTAACTTAAAAAAAAAAACATTTAAATTTGCGTGTGTGCTCAGTTGTATTTTGTTACCTGAAGAAAGAAAAAATCACTGCACGTCCTGTAAATTATGTTAATGCTTCCATCTGACCACACAACTTTGAGAATGTAAACCTTGAGGACCAAAAAACCAAATGTTTAGTAACTTGCTAGTTTTTGCTATAAAACATCTAGTGGTTCCTGTTATAAGCCCTGGTCAAACGGACCGGCAAGTAGTCGCAAGTGGACGCAAGTTGAACTTGGGTAGAGACTTGCGTTGGGTGGCTAAACGGACTAGCAAGCTTCCTTGCAAGTACACACAAGTCGCTAAAAAACATTTTAAGGCAGACTATCCTCTTTTTCATTGGCTAATAATAGCTTAATGGACGTCACTCAACTTGCATTGACTTGGGTTGGGCGGCCAAACGGTGAAAAACTTACTCTGACTTGGGAGCAAATTTGATTTCGACCAAAGTGTGCGCAAGTCAACGCAAGTGCACGCAAGCCCTGGCCAAACGGTGTCGCAAGTACACCCAAGTTTTCAACTTGCGTCTACTTTAAACAGAAATCATGGAAATAGGAAAACAATAAAATGTACAATAAGTTTACTTACAAAGTTTTTATCGGGGTTCTTTCTCTTTTGTATTCCTTCGACTGTAAGCAGCTTGGGTCGTGGATTCATTTCGGATGTCTTGGTCTGAGTGGTTACTTTATTCGCCGGGTTTCGATCCGGAAACTGTAATAAAGAAAATCAGAGCCTGTCTTATATGATGACATCTGTGCCTTTCTAAGCATTATTAAATTAATAGCGTTTTCCACTCCATCTAAGGAAATAGGGTGTTATAAAAGTTCTTATCCACTTTTGTTTGCTTTATTTGTCTAACAGGGTTTTTTTCTTTATGCAGGTCACTGAAATTGTCTAGATCTAGTTTCGGCGTTTGTAGCTCGTTGTTCCGGTACGAAGGAGAAGCTTGCGCTCGTCAATTCTTCATCGATCTCTTCGTACTTGCTTTCTTAGTGTTGTGGACATTTTTCTTGTTGCAAGTTCTGTTTTCCCAGCTCGAGTTGTGAACAACTTTAATCTGTTATTTTAGGATTATTTTCACAATTCTATACTGTAAGTAACTAATTTAAGAGTTTAATGTGCTTATCTCGTAAAAGACATTCTAATTACCTTCTCTTTTCCTTGAAGGACGAGTCCTTTCAAGTCTTCACGTTTCTGTTTGAGCCAGCTATCCAAACTTTTGTTAATTTGCCGATGCTTGTCTTGGTTGTCCGAGATTTCCTGCTGATCTAAGATCTCTGGAGATATAGACCTGGATCTCCCAGGAGCAAGAAAAGCGCTCGGTGCCCAGCCCTCACAGAAATCATTTTTGACGTACCACCAGCCACTGGACTCTTTCTGTAGCACATCAACCTCCTCGCCTTCCTCAAGAGATACCTCACCGCTTTCCTCTGCGAAGAATGATCGAAGAACGACATACTTCTTTCTACTGGGGCTGTCTCTTCCATAGCTATTTCTTGCACCAAATTGAGGTGAACTCTTTTCCTTTAAGTTGGGGCGTGTCTCCTCCAATTCAGAATATTCAGAGTCAATGGCCGAACTCCCACTTTGTACTGAAAGGCTCTTATCAGCACTGGAACCTTGCTCGCTTGACTTGTCATCAGGCTTCATTTTCTTTAGTTGTTCTCGTTCGCTTAACAAACGATCAAGAACAGCACCAGCACTAAATGACCTCATCCTCAGATCAGGTCTTATTGACTCCGCGTTTGTGTCACAGATTTCGGCATCGAGGGAGGCCGCTCTCGACTTACTGGTAATCATTGGGATATCATCACTTGATTGTCGTTTCTTCTGCCTGTTCGTCTTTCCATAAAGTTGGTCTCTGGCTTCCTCGCTAAAGACAGGCAAGTCCTCTGCAATCCCATTGGGACTATACCGTGTTTTATGCTTTGCTAATGGACCCTCTTCAGGTATATTTCTAAGCGGATCTCGACCTATTAAAAACAAATCCAAAAATAATATTATCCTTTTTGAGAAACAGTCCATTGCTTTAACACATTCGAAGATTTTGAGAGGAGTTAACTGCAAAATCCTTTAACTAAGCAAGCTTCCAAACGCCGGTTTTAACAATAATATGCATCACTGCATTCAAAAAATATATATTTTCCTTACCACTTAATATTTCCGCCACTTTGTTGGCGTTTTTCAATTTCTCCTCCTCTGAGGACCTGCAGGAAAATGATTTAAGTCAGTTCCTGGAGATGGTTTAGATGAATTACAACTTGGGTGATATTCATACCTTATAATTGTTCCCCGTCGTCCGTCGAGGGCACTAAAAAATTTCAGGACAACTTCAGATTCTCGCACCAAACTTGGAAGGGCTAACACCTCCTGTTAATACACAAAGATAATTAAACACTTTATTATCCAACTGCACTTCGTGGAGTACAAGTAACGCCCAAACCGACTACAAATATCACGCGGTATTTGTACTCCAGAAGACCGGTTAGACAGGTTTCCTGCCGTTGACCAATCAGTTAGCTGTATTTCCCGCGCCAATTCTGTTCCCGGCTTCGCATACTTCTGTCACGCATTCCCCGTAAAAAAATATCCGCGGACATAACAATTTAGCGTGTTGGATTATAAATCTTTTATTAGACGTTTTGTTGTGTAGTATCGCTGATAATTTTACTCGTTGTTTGTATACGGCGCAACTCGTAAAAATACTCAGCGATACTACACAACAAAACGTCTACTAAGATGTATGTATTTAAGAATTTGGCAGGCACTGTGTGAAGCCCGCGGGGCGGGGGGGGGGTACTCCCATATATGGGCTATATAGGTACGTGCCGCGGAATAGGGTATCTTCTTTTTTGACCCTTTTGTTACTGTGTTCCCGGTGTGGTTCTTTGATAGGGTAGCAAAATTGTATTATCTAATACTGGAGTGAGAAAACGCCCGCCTAAACTAATGTTTTTTCTAAGTATGAACAAAATGATTTGCAACAGAGGTTTAATGGCCTTGAATAGGGTGTCATTTTTCGGGTTTGGGCCTCAAAAAGGGTATCAGTTTTCGCTTTCTTAGTCCTTAAATAGGGTTAGGGTTCAAGAACCTTCGCGGCACACCCCTATCCAAAACTTGCGGGAGTACCCCCCGAGAGAGAGACAGAGAAATCCAGTCTACTTTGCAAAGCGACCTAATATTTAAGCCGGCAATAGACCACAAATTTCTATGGTGTATTTACAGGTTAACGCACTCAGCGAGTTAATTATCGTGATTTACCTGCACGAGTTCGCTAATAATGAACGAGAAGTTTCAATACCGCACTCGGCCTTTACCTGCACGAGTTCACTAATAATGAACGAGAAGTTTCAATACCCCGCGAGGCCGCCGAGTGCGGTATTGAAAATTTCGAGTTCATTGTTACTGAACGAGCTTTTCATTATTCGAATTGAATACATTGCAAAAAAATCGTCAAACTTTGAGTCGGCCGAAGCCATAGCATAATGACAATGGTGTGCTGAATTTACAACACGGCTATTACACCACGATAATGACGTCAAGGAGGTTGTTTCGTCAGAACCCAGTATCACGTGGTACAAATCAGCCAATCAGAAAATCGGAATTCGTACAGTGCATGAATGTTGAATAATAAAAGCTGATAAACCAAGCGGGATGTTGGTAGAACACGAGAAGAATTCGTAAATTAAATCACGGGCTGCAGGCGAGTGACTTACGAATTCTTCGAGTGTTCTTCCAACATCCCAAGTGGTTTATCATGCCTCTAAACCAAAGAGAATTGTGGTCTATTGCTTTTATATAATAACTCAGAAGATGCGCGATTTTTCCATGAGTTAACCGGCACAATAAACCATATACATATTTGTAATCCAAAAGGATCAGGTGCTGCGTGGCACAGGTAACAGTAAAAAATTAAAGTTGTAAGTATTAATAACGTAGTGCCAAAGTAAAAACGATGTCTATAGCAGACGTTTCGGGCCTAGCCCTTCTTCAGTGTTATGTTGAGTTTTGAATGGGACAGGTCGTTGAATCAACAATCGACATAGCACTGAAGAAGGGCTAGGCCCGAAACGTCTGCTATAGACATCGTTTTTACTTTGGCACTACGTTATTAATACTTACAACTTTAATTTTTTACAATAAACCATACAGTAACTGACCAATCAGAGCGCGCGCATATAAATCACTATCAAAGACGCTTAGATACTTGGTTAGAGTTGTGCATTAATGATGTAAGAATTTACCTTGATAAAGTTATCCATTCTCCCCATTTTTTTCAACTCATTGTCTTTAAAGAGAATTCGGGAAAGTGCTGAGGCGTTTTCTGCAAAGTAAGATGTTCTTATCAGTTTGTGAATTTTAGCTAAAATTGCCATGGAACGTAGATAAATAATGATTTGCAGCTGTGTTTTTAGTTATATGGCATGTGAATGTGAGCGAGGCCGGAGGTGACCTTGCTTTGACAAAGACCTCTCTGGTTACGATAAGAACAACTTGATTCACGAAACAAAAGCATTGAGGTCTATATCACCCCAAGCCTCGCTTGCATTCATAGGTCAGATTACTGAACGTGACAACCGTAAAATGATCTATTATATTTGTTTTGATCCTCACAAACTTTCACTTCTCTGACCATAGAATTGTTGATAAGATATTGAATATTGATCATCAACCATGTTATTTTGTTCTTTCAAATTCAAAATCCAAGTCAATACCACATCTTACCTTCGAGAATTTTAAGACATGGAGCCTAACGTTAATTTAGGGAATAAGGCATACATTCAAAATCGATCAAACAAAAACTTTCGGATAAACGTTTATCATCGATCATGCCTAAACAAATATTAACGCATCTGGAAAGCAGGAAATAAGGGTTCTGGAAGCCTTTTTTGAATAACCGCCTTCATTTTTGAGTAAGTCGTAAACCCTAACCTGCAATTGACAGAAAGTAAGAGTGTTTGAGCTTTTCTTTACTAATAAGATAATTTGTTTCTCAAACGGGCCAATCAGAGATTAAGTAAAACTTCAACAACTGACTATCATCAAATGAATAAAGAGGGTAAGTTTCTAAACAGGCAGCCCAAGCCCACGATGCGACTGAGGAGTTATTGTTGTTTTTCGTTAATCTTTATCCAAACGTTCAGCGAGTGAAACATGACATATTTACCGCCGACATTTAACACTTAATGACTGGTCTCGAGAAGAACGGTGAATTTTGTTTCCCGAGAATATCAATGTTTCCCGAGACGAACATTGAGATTCGAGGGAAAGAAAATTCGCTGTTCCCCAAGGGACCAGTCATTAAGTGATTTGTTATATAGCAAAACAAAACAAAAGCAAATTTTGAAAAACGCGCTGAGATTCCAGCGACAACATCAGGCCACCTCTGATCACGTGCAGCAGAGGTCAACATTTCGCGGGTAACAGTGAACTGTTTCCCGTATGACGTCATAGTTTTTGCAATGTTGCCCGCTCATCTTTTGGCGGGAAACAGTTTCATTGTTAGATGTCATGTGACCATGAACTGGCCAATGACTGGGCGCGCTGTAACGAGAAAAACGCCAGCTATATAACAACTACGTAATGACATATATAATGACCGAGACGTGACTCTCGTCTGGCAGCATATGGCCGACGGCTTCCTCTCCTAAGAAAGGGGAAAATCGAACCAATAACTCGCTTAAAAGGCTTCGGATCGAGCTGAGAGGCGAGATTACAACAGAATAGGCAACAAGGCATTGAGGTAAGTCATTTGTATTGCAAAAAATATCAAAATTTCGGCTATAGTCTATTAGCGTTTACCCCACACAAACCTCTATCTTTAAAAACCCAACACAACAACTAGGCGAGAGTCTCGTTTCGCTCAATCAAACTCGGTCGTCATATATATAAGATGGAGGTAAATATGTCACATTTCACAAGCTGAACGTTCGCATGAAAAGAATAATAACTCCTCGCACCGTGAGCTTGGGCTGTCTGGTGGTTTCGAGAGAAACTGTGGTGCTGCGAAGGGATAACGCCGCGGATCGAAATCTTTTTACGGTGGCTAAAATTCACATGTCAATCCAGCTGATAAAACCAAAATGACTGTCATCACACTTACTTGTAAGGTGACAAATTCCTCGTATTTCTTTCGAAGTACAGACTTGCTGCCGTCGCTATAAACAACGGTAAACTTGTATGTCTGCAAGATTTAAAGAAAAAATCTTTTAAAAGTACACTTGTTTCAAGCTCATCCCCAAGGTCCTCTCTCTACTTTCTCGAGGTAGAGAGAGGACCCTGGGGACGAGTTTGCACCTTTTTTTCAGATTCACGTGATGGGCGTGCCAAGTTGTCACATGATGAGTGCGTCATGATCAAGTGATCAGACCACACGTCCCTGCATGAGTTAATAGGAAAAATAGAAGATGTGTAAAGTTTGCAAAAATATGCTTAGTTCCGGTTCCGCTTAGTCAGAGACTGAATGGCCCAATACCATCCCAGTGGGGCAAGTGGAAATCCCTTGGGTTGTTAGTACGCCAAAAAATAACGTGTCTACAGCACGTACGGACATGCTAATTTACGGCCCGCTAGTCAAAGACTGGGAATGTATTCTGCTTGTGTAGATCTGATTGCAGAAACTCAAGCATTATTCATTAGGCGTTTTTCTTTGAGCCCAAATTGAGAAGTACTCTAACAGGATTCGACATTCATCATGCAAAGATATACATGGTTTCAAAACGAGCTCGAAATAGGCCTTACATATGCTGGATCGATGACTGAAATTGCCATTTTCAATTCTATCCTCGGCCTGCGTTTCTTCGTTCTTTCGGAGCATCCTGCATGTTCGTTGTTTCCTTCGTTGGTCCTTTCCTCTTCATGTTTCTTTGTTTGTTTGAGGCTTGTTTCCTTCACATGTTTGTTTCTTGGTTTGTTTTTCGTTTTCAACACAGTTTTGGCGTGAGAAAAAACAGACGTGGAACGAGTTAAGACAGAAGATTACTTAAAAGGAAGGGTACAATTCATTGATCATTGACTTTTTCTTCAAGTGGTGGCTGCTAAAGGAGTCGTTTAGTTTTTGCAGTTTGCGAAGCATAATGTCACGCTCAAGCACGCTCTGGACAAGTGAATATCCCTCGGCAAAATGCTGACACGTTTGGCGTGGATAGCGCACAGGTTGGTATCCGCAAACAAGCCCACTGGATAAGCTTCACTGGCTTCTTGGAGAGCTAGAACTGCCTGAGAGCTTTGCAAGCGCAGGTCCGTTTTGAAATCCTGCGCAATCCCTGGCACAAGACGCTGAAAAGGCAGCTTGCGGATGAGTAGTTCTGTGGATTTTTTCTGATAACGGCGAATTTCTCGGACAGCAACTGTTCAGGCTTGTTCAGGCTTCT